TGCAGTCGGATATACGTTCGTTCGAAAAAGGCACCTTGAGGTAACTGGATCAGTATAGAATTATGCTATACGGTGATTAGTTTTACAACCATGCTTAATAAAGCTTTTTGAAACGAGGACGCATTTCGAAATTTCAGCCGACATTTCATAAGTTAGGCAGTATGTTATGAGAGAGAGAGAGAGAGGAATGCTTTATTTTGAAAATAACATTCAAAACTTTCAGCAAAAACGGTTCTCCAGTGCACAGTGATTACCATAGAGATTAACAGGTATTGGACAGGTGGACATAATTATCTATGAAGAAAAAAGGACTTTAAGGTGAAAGATCAAGTTTTAGCTTTTGTTTTTCAGCATCTTTGCAGGTGAGATACCGGGCTAGAAATGGCAGTAGGGAATTCTGATAAGCCGAAGTGCGACAAGGGATGTGGCGGAAGCATCGACGCATGGAGCGTAAGGATTTCGCAGCCATTAACTAATTATGAAGGGGATGGACGGTGTCATTCAGAATTCGGTCAGCAAATTGCTACACCGTATTGAAGTGTCGCTGCACGATGATATCAACTAAAATATGATAGGAAACACCAGCAGCAGAGGCGAGCATTCGAATGACACGGTTAAAAATAATTAGATCTTTTTTAAGTAAACTTGGAAAAATAACTGGAGAACAATAAAGAATGAGTGAAAGAATACAGCCATCTATGAATCGCCAGATTAAGGACTGGGGTGTATGGTATGAACGTAGACGACGAATGTAATAAACAAGTTTTTGAATTTTTGTTAAAAGGATTTCCATATGAAGAGAGAAAGAGAGATTTGAGGACAAAGTAACACCTAGGTACCGCAAAGAGGATACCTCATTGGGAAGAATATCCAAAGGTTCAGGAATGGGAGAGGGTCGCAATCGAAACACACACTGTACTGATTTCTGATTGTTGAGTAGGAGTCCATTATTTGACGACCAAGCGGAGACGTGATCTTAGCCATCCTTTAAAGACTGTAGGTGAGTCAGGTTTTTGAGTGGGTGGCCTACGACCATGTCATCGGCATACTTAACATACAGGCAGTCGTTTGGCGATCTCAAATCATCAGTATGAAGAGAGAAAAGATGGGGGGATAAGATGGAGCCTTGTAGAACTCCACAATTATTTGGAAGAATAGAAGATTTTCTCTTTCCCGACTGGACAAACTGTGTGCGGAAGGAAAAATAATCTCTGAGCCAAGAAACAACCCAGCTCGGAGCGTCACACGCAGCTGCTTTGGTCAGTAGGAGTTGGCGCGGAATAGTGTTGAAGGCGGATGAGTAGTCGAGAAAAGCACATGCATATGCACGGCATCCCTTGTCTAAGTCTCTCAAAGCTGAATGGACAACTAAAGCAACATCATCCAAGGTGCTACGCTTTGCCTTGTATGCAAATTGTAGAGGATCAGAAAAATTGACGGAGGAGTACTTAAGGGAATCTAATGCAACTCGTTCAGTAAGTTTCAGGAGTGCAGAAGAGCAGGCAATAGGACGGAAAGATTTAGGAGCAAAAGTTAAAGATTTTTTTAGGGATTGGAGTAATTCTTACTGTACGCCAGACGTCGGGAATCTTGGACTCTATGAAGGATAGATTAATAAGGTGGGTCAAGACAGGAGCTATCTGCGAACAGCAAGACTTAAGGAGAAAAGGAGAGACACCGTCCGGCCCAGCCGCCGTTGACCCGCGAACCTTTCTGAGATGTTGTTCCACTGTTGTCACAGTCACAGGAGTAAAGTCGCATGGTGGTAGGTAAATTTCGTTTGGGCGAGAATGGGAGTCGTTAGAAGTACAGATAAAATTTCGATTTAAAGAGTTTAAATTTACATCAATGGGTTCAAGTAGATTACGTTGACCAGTGAGACGCTTGATATTCCTCCACAGTTCAGCAGAAGAAAAAGGAGAGGAGGGGGTGGATGAAGTAGAAAAAAGTTGACTAACGAATAAACCGTTAAGTCTGGCGATTTCGTTCTTTATTAAAACATTGATATCCTTCACCTTGTCACGCTGACCTAGTTTGTAGAAGGCTTCTTTGCGACGTCTCAAGTGTTTGAGGTATGGTGAGGAGATTCTGTCAGGCCTGACCATAGCAGTTTCACGGGGACAACAAATATCAAAAATGAGATTCAAAAATATCGTAAGATTGTTTAGAGCATAATTCAGCACTTTGTAGTGCTAGAAAAGTTGGGATGGTACTAGCAATCAAACTCTGCAGTAAGTGGATCTTATCTACGGATGTGTCTCGAACAGTAATTTTCCTCTCGGGTTTTGTAAGCAGTTGTCGCTTAGAGGTGGAATAGACTTTTGGAAGTCCTAGTAGCACTGAGTGATCAGACCCGGAGAGAGGAGCTCTATCTTTAATACAAAAAAGCTTTGGGTAATTGGTCAAGATGTGATCAAGAGGGGCATCAGCCCATGTATTGAATGAAACAAGGTCATCAAAACCCAGAAGGGTAATGGGCCGAAAGCTTACACGGTTAAAATCACCGCATAAAAGAATAAGATGGTCTGAAGCAAGTTTTTGTGTGAGAAAGTCAAAAAACGGCTCAGAGAGCCTTCATTTGTGGAAGGGGGGATGTAAATACTGACAAATATGATACCCTTAAAGCTATTTAACAAATAGGGCAGATAACAGCAATGACATCATTTAAATCACCAGAATATGAAAACAGGGGCTTACAATTTATACACCAGTCTTGATTGACAAAAATGGCCACTCCTCCACCTCTACTGCCTGTTGGAGATGGTTTATCACTTCGAAAACAACAAAATGACGAAAGAATGATTAGTTCCGAGTCAATATGGCTATTCAACCACGTCTCCTGAAGGCAAATTACTCCTGTTTTGCCATGTTCTTTGGTTGACAGAAGTAATTCCAACAGGGGAGATTGGAATGACCTTTTTGGCTTATTAGCCGTCGTCAGCCAGGCATACCTAACCCCGAAGTGTGGAACACCCGAGGCTCGAACTGGTGACCTGTTAGTTAGAAGTCCACGCCTCTAACCACTGGGCTATGAGCCCGTTGCTCTGTCGGTCTTCGATCGGAAATATATAATGGTAAGGGGCGCTCACCAATCGTTCTTACGGAACTCACTCGTTCTGGTTGGGCTCGAGAGAGAGAGCCCATAAGGCACAATGGAACGAGTGACTTCCGTAAGAACGATCGGTGAGCGCCCCCTACCATTTCATGAGTTTGCCTACCTACTGTAGTTGGTGATATGGAAGGTTATTTTGCCCTACTATAGTTTATATGATTTAGCACTTGTTCTTCTATTCCATCCGCGATTTGAAGCAGGACACGAGTCTTGATTTACACCCTACTAAATACGGCCTGTGTGGACTGTGTTGCTGACTCAACATCAGGTAGGTAACGGGAATATGGGCCCCGGCGCAATGGGTGGCTTTGCGCCAAATTCCGGCGGCGGGGGGGGGTTAGGATGGTTGGGATCAGAGTTGAGGTTAGAAGTGTTGGGATGAAATTAGCACACGAGAATAAGTACCCCGGGAGCTTATCGCAGTGCCACCTGCCCTTATCCTCATGGCCAACCCAAAAATATACGTCCAAGCGATGTTGATTCTGCCAACTTGATGAGCGAACGCGAATACAATGTTTCTTTTATTGATGGCAGTTCTTCTCATTTACTTTTTTAGAAAATTACTCAACATCTATACTTGCAGGAATCTGCGTCCGTGGCCATTAACGGGTATCTGTCGTCATGAGCATTCCACGCATTTTAGAAAACTTAAGTAATTTATTCGTTTTTAGCTTTTTGCAGTAAAATTATGCAGACAGAACCTTTTACTTTCGTTTCGGGTCAAGCTGATGGCAGATGAAAAAGATAAAATTGGTCATTTGTCTGGAGTGAAAGAAACCCACAGTCGACTAGGCTAAGGAACTTTTTAAAATATTGCAGGTGTATGTTGGCGAAAAAGTTCAAATGCAGCCAAACTAAATTAAACATTTTGTTGTAAAATCAATTTTTGTGATTACCGAGTTAGCATACAGCTCTTGCCATTATCATTTACACGCAGTTTGAGCAATCTGTAACGGTGCAACTTCTGAATTTACTTTTGGTACAGCCCTCGTGGTGCTTAAACTGAAGGAAGAGCAACACCCGCAAAAGGGAGGACTGGAAGGGTTACTTCTGGCTTTATAGCCATCGTCAGCCGGTTTGCCCCAACACCAAGTTTGCAAGATCTAGAATTCCAGTCCGAATTCATCCAGTGAGGAGTTAGTTGTGCATAATTCCGGAAACTGTGGACTTTGATATTAAATAAGCAAGGTCGTAGATTAGTAGCTCATATGGCCTAGCATCTTTTGATGCCTATGAACAGTGCAAAACTTTCTCATTAATCGCATCTTTGCTGTCTCTATACGTTATCACAACGGCTGAAGCCATGCTGTGGCCGAAGCCACTGCGATCTTCTGATCCCGTCCGGATAAGAAGAGAGAAGTTGGACGCCCGTGGGGGAGGGGTTTTATTCTGTACAGAATAATGGATGAAATGGGCAGCCGGAGAAGTATGTCTGCCTGTGTTACCAATCAGTGAAAGGGCTGCGTTGATTGGCTGCAAGCCCACGCGGGGGAGTGACAAGCTTCGCATGGTGAAGACAGGGAATCGACCAGAAGTGTGGTGCGGACAGGAATGCAGCTAGACGAATTAAAGGCGGGTAGGCGTGCGGGCCGAGGCAGGTTGTCGCTGATGCGTACGTACCGGCACTAGCAAGAGGCGCGGCGTTGCCATGACCACCTGGTGTAGCGCCAATACAACCCTACCTTCACGCTGAATTATTGGTAGGAATTTGCGAGACGTCCTTCTTGCTTTAATTGGTTCAGCTGCATAAAGGGCCCTTCTCTGTGGTGTTTGTCAGCACTTGCCCCCCATCGTAAACTTGCCCGTTAGCAACCGCAAGCTAAAACCTTTACTGCTGTGATCACATGACTGCACATGCTTCAGGCAGGGCACATAGAACCATTTACGTATGCACATATATATGCATAATTTCACGGCAGTTGGTCAGTCCCGATTTCGACACACATCACCAACGCCAATTAAGGGGTAAATTCAGTGATTTCAGAAGTTTGGTGTAACAAAACTTTTTACTTTGTTATGTGTTTCAAGGTGTAAATCAGCAGTTAACTTTTTTAATCACTGAATAGTTCGCAATCTTTTCATGTGAGATTTTCGTAAACTTAGGCGATTAAATGGCAAGACAAGGGAATAGGAATTCGTCGTATTCGGGAAACCTTGCACTTACTGCCAGGGGATTGGGATTGGGGTTAAAGCCTGGGAAAAGCCTGCGGCAGAATTATCGATCAATTGGCCAGAGGGCGAAGTCGAAAACTTACTGCTTTCAATGACCCTTCATTTAAACAGCGACCCTGTTTTTTAACTAAAGATCTAAAACCCGAATAATATCACCCAGATGACTAAATGATTGACCCACTCTATGACAGGGGACATGAACTTAATTTTTCCTGATAAATAGAAGGGCAGATCAGCATCTCTAGCTTTACACTGAATTTGCGGGAAATTTGCTTCCCCATGCGCAGTAAGTTTATGCATTGCGATTTTTGGGTTAGCGTTAAAAAGAGCCACAATCCCCATACCAGTGAGCCTTTTGCATTCGGCCACGTATTAACAAAACTGATAATGCGTATCTGTTTTTAGAATATGTAACATGACATGGAAACTTCCAGTAGTGATAATGCAGTTCATCTTTGAAGGCAACACTTTAGCATGGATCATGCTCATCGGTTTGGTTGAACATGGTGAAATGCTCTATTCGTCCTTTGTGAGCACGGAACAGAACTCTGAGCCAAAATCCGTAAGAAACTGATTAAATAAATTTATAGAAGCGATTTTAGATCAGCCAGAACCCCGTAGATTATTGGGTTTGGACAAAATGTTTGAGCCCTAACTATGCGGACGCTTCCATAGCAATACAAGTCTCTGCGGCTTTTCGATGTCTTTGTCAAGCTAATTATCATATGCGGGAGTGGAAGCCACGCCTATGTCTTATAACTATTCTGTGGGACTAGACCCTCTTAAAATAAAATTTTTAAGGTCTGAGATAATTTATTCCTTAAAGGCGTGGTCGTGATGTGTGCCTGGAGCTGCACGTGCACTAACGCGCAAAACATACTACTGACCTCGTAGGTGTGAGTGAGTATTTTTCGCTGGAGTTCATGCATTTCGACTCAGATTTTCGCCTAGCTTGAGGTTGGAGTCGGGCTTGACATGTTCGGTTCTCCGACAATCCGATTACCAGTTTATCCAATACTTTTAGACTAGGATACATAGCGTCCGCACTTTATCTGATTCCCATCTCTGCCAAAATTATCTGAGATTTAGTGCGTGACCGATCTCCTGAAATGTTAGCCAAAAGTCTGGAATGCGTTTCCGATTAGAAAGGATTACTTAAGTGGGGTTGTTATACTGATTTTCATGCAGCATAGCCCTATAAAAATTCGGACTCGCCAGGATGTCGACTTTTGAAAGCACTTTTTTCTGATGTCTTACAGAAACCCCACTTGGTAAAAAATGACTGCTTAAGTAGCATTCATTTTTCCTATTGATTTTCGATGTTCTTATAAATTCAAATATCTTTTGCAGAAAACTTTCGCAATAATATGCTTTCGTTTGCCCACTTAGAAGGAAATCACGTTGTCTTCATATTTTATGCTCGAAAATAGTGTGTATTTAGGTTTTAAAAATGTTTCCCGATTCCCGAATAATTTTCAAACTGCTCTGTCATTTCATCAGCGTTTATCAATCTCAGTCTACAAGTTACATGCTTTCCGCCTAAGGAAAATCATATATTCCTCTATGCCTTTAAGAAGATACTACATAGAGTTCATGAAATTTCGCAATGGATCCGGACCGTGTTGTACATTTCATGAAGAGCATTAGTAAACGGACGTGTGCGGTCTTGCATGCATTGACATCCCACGATCTTAAATATTTCATAATAAGACACTTTTCAAAACCAAAATATACACTATTTTCGGGCATAAACTATGAAGAGAATGTCATTTTCTAGCAAATGAGCAGAAGAAAGCTTATTTTTGGATTTTTTTCTGTAAATGATAATTGAATTTATAGGACCATCGAAAATCAATAGGGAATATGCAGGCTTCTTAAGTAGTCATTTTTTACCGATTGGGGTGTCTGCATGAGATCAGAAAAAAAGCATTCAAAAGCTGACATCCTGACGAGTCCGAAATGTTATAGGGTTATGCTGCAAGATAGTCAGTATGACAGCCCCACTTAAGTAACCCTTTCTCATCGGAAACGCATTCCAGGCTTTTGGCTAACATTTCAGGAGATCGGCCACGCACTGTACAGTAGAACAAATCCAAGAGATTTTCACCCTAACTCACGGATAGGTGCGTCACAGGAAATAGGTCAAGAGGCAAATAATTGTCGAAAAAATGGAACATAATCGGCACATACGATCACAGACGCGCCATTTTCTGTGTATCGGAGGATATTGGCAGCTTTGCTGTGTAACCGGTAAGCTTTTCACCGTTATTTTACGACTACGTTGTATACTTTTTCGGGCTTGGGTATGGCTAGCTGACGACGGCTAATAAGCCAGAAATGGCCATTCCAGTCTCCCTTGTCTTTGTCGGTAATAACATTCTACTTTTTCTTTTGGTTAAACTTCGCTTCACGATAATTAACGCAATGCAGAGTGACAATACATGTACTAGAATACGACAAAAACTGTTGGTTCTGTACCAGTTTTGCTTCATCCTCACGCCTCATCCAAGAACTAGACACTACAAGAACTACCTTTCCACGTGCTTAAAAGTCGAAATCGCCGCTTAGTGATGGGCCTTTATCTGTTACGTATGGTATATTTTTAAATGATGGGAAATTAAACGTGCGGTAAAGTAAAAAAATACCTGCGTGCACTACTATTGTTTTGGCGCATGACATTAGATAAACTTGCCAATCAGACTTCTTGAACAAAAACTTGTTTTCCTGAAAGCAACCTGCTTATTCATATTTTTCCGCATCCAATTTACGTGATAATAAAACTTGGTGCTCATGGTGGCGACGACTGTTTCGGCAAGTCTTTTTCGTTTATATTAATATCCTTTTTTCTCCGGCAAAAAGCCGAGTTGCGCAGATGTAATCTAGAACAGTTATTAGCATGGGATATGGCCTTACGTTGATTTTCGCCAAATACTATTGACTGCTTCGTTAATAAAGTACCTTATAAATATATTCCGCACACGAAAAGGGCTTTTCTCTGAATTTTTAAGTTAATGAGCAATGCGCACCGTTTATGATGCCCCGAACTGGTCATCTGGATTTCGGCCATCATGTTTCATGAATTACGACATTGACCTCGTGAAATCGCACGCTTGAAAGTCCTTATGCCCTAATGCGTAACGCTGCCAGTCACTTGGCAGTCACTTGCCAGTCACTGCCAGTCACCAGTCACTTAGGGACAAGGTAAATTTGTAGCTTTTTAATTTCCTTAGAAATTAACTGCGATTTTGGAGTAGATCAGTATACTGAAGATCTATAGACTCAGACCAAAGTTCTTGTCTATGAATATTTGGGTCGAAGTCCATTAGCCACAGCGGATAACCGCGTAATATTCATTAGCTGCTTGACGGCTGCTAGTAGCTACAATTTATAGATTGAAGTATCTACCTGAAAGCAGACAGGGAATGCTGGGGGACCCACTGACGAGCCGTACCTCTCGCAACTGTGTCATGCAGTGGCAGAATATCGGCGAAACACGTGTGTATGGGCTTTTGGCTAGTACCTGTATGGTATCACCTTACCCACAAGGTAGATTTACCTTATCTTGCATGTGGGCCATATGCGCCGTTTACATAAGCAACCCCAATAATTCTCAATGAGCAGGCGGCAATCTACTGTGTGGCTCCGATACGGCGTCCGGGTTCTTAATTATAAGTGCCGCAGCCATATCCACATCCATTACTGTACTCAAATGATGATACGAGAGTTCACATAGGTATGTTAGAACTAAATTGTAAGACTCGCTGTAGGTGTTTCCCTAAAAGCATCCAGTTATTTTTGAAGGGAGTATGACTGCAACATACAACTGTGACTGACTCGTAAGGTTTGGAGGCCAAAATAAAATACATTTCGTGTTTTGGAAACTGTGCATTCTGTAATTGAACTTCGGCATTGAACTTCCTGTTTCTCATACTTAAGCTTTAACAAGACATCTAAAACGGAAAATAACGGATTTTCTAATGTGGAATTTTTTCACAGAGAGTTTTCAAACAGTTATATAAGTTCTTTGTGGGAACCGCGCCGTCGTTTTGCACTGTTCTGCGCGAGGACATTTCTGTGCGCAAAAAATTTGATTTCACACTTATTTTATTTTGGTCCATTTGGAAGTACTCCTGGGGCGTGAGTATTTACCCAAAGAGGTGCATTTCAGTTAGGGAGCTCGATTTTGGGTGATGCAAGTGTCCGGCACACGGTTTACAGACTCAGACTAAAGTATGGTATATTGTGACAGTCTGAAATCGTGACTGACGATGTCCACCGTGCGGTTCTCAGCAGGATGAGAGCAGACACAGCAGCTTACGCGTGATTTTTCTTATAGTAATAGTAGACTTGCGCTGCATTGACCGCACTCTCTCCTCCTCCCCTACTTGGATCCGGTGTCAAGTCTTGCTCAAGAACACCGGAGGTGGGAAAGGACGCAGTTGAATGACGCGGTCGGACCCGCTCAAAAACATAAAGATAGATTCATTTATGCAAAGAAGATGAGCGTGCAATCACTGGGAAAGTAAATACATTAGTTAGAGCTTTCAGTCTCGTACAGGAGGTCGTCATCAGAGACTCTGAGAATGCACCGTCAAACTAGCAGTTTTATAGTCAAACAAAGAAGGGGGCTGATAGGGGTGGAAGGGGGTGGTGTTCGCGATAAGGTCGAGTTCAGCCGTCTAGCGGCAGCGTAACTGCGCGCGCCCTTAACTGGCCGCGAGAACGGAGCGAGTGATAGCAGAGAGGCATATCAACGCGTCTGTTGATGACACGCAGGACTCCAGGAGTTCTCGCCCTGTCTTATTGCTGGCTCGCACCATTATCTGCGAGCTCGCGGAACTGAATTCGTGGCCTTCCTCCGTTGTGTGAGTGGCGACCTGAGACAGTAGGTCGCCTCTCCGGACCGCCCCTTTGTGCCACGTTATTCACGAGCTAAGTCATTGTCCCGTCTGTCCTGTATAATGGCGAGGGCAGACGCGGAATCGGATCAGATACACGATACCAGATTGTTCTCCTGCGTCTAGTCGGTCCTTCATTTGAATAAACTTGGTGTGCATGGTAGCTGTCGCTACGCACACCACGGAGGAAGGCCAGGAATTCATTTCAGCGAGCTCGTAGAGAATGGTGCGAGCCAGCAATAAGACAGGGTGAGAACTCCGGGAGTCCTGGGTGTCATCAACACACGCGTTGATATTCCTCTCTGCTATCACTCGCTCCGTTCTCGCGGCCAAGAGACGAGACCCAATTCCCAGCTAAGGGTCCACGCAGTTACGCTGCCGCGAGACGGCTGAACTCGACCTTATCGCGAACACCACCCCCTCCACCCCTATCCGCCACCTTCTTTGTTTGACTATAAAACTGCTAGTTTGACAGCGCACTCTCACTGGGGGGCCAGTAAACCATGGCTCAAACAGCTCCCGGCTCACGCGGTTGTCACCTCTTGCGAGAATTTCGGCCTCGTCAAATTTGAATGTGTGGCCGGAACCCGTCGAATAAGCCGCAACTTGAGAGCTGGAGTCATTTCTCCGCGCCGCTGCAGCATGTTCGACCATTCGCGTTCGGAGCTGTCTTCCGGTTTCTCCGACGTAGTTGCTTTGTCCGCAACTGCACCAGATCCGATAAACGACTCCCGACGTTTCTTGCCGTGGTAGCGAGTCTTTTGGTTTCATTATCTGACGCCTGATGGTTGCTTCCGGTCTGCGTGCAACTCCAACCCTAAGTGGTGCGAGAAGGCGGCCGACAGCCTCCGAAACGTTCTTGACATATGGAAGCGCTTGCCAAAATTTGGTGTCCGTGCGGTTAGGCTTTTCGTCCCCTTTGCGTATGCACCGGTTGACGAAGTTGCACGGGTAGCCATTGGCTTTGAAGACCCGTCGGAGGTATTGTAGTTCGGCAATCTTGTCTTCCGGCTCACTGCAGTGCGTTTCGACACGCCGATAGGGCGTCCTTACACAACGTAGACGACAGTCTTACAGAAATTGCAGTTCTGGCTTAAGGCGTGATGGCAACTTGTCGATCATATCGGAGCCGTCGGTAGTGTAACGTAATTGGTCGACCCATCGCAAAGAAAATGTGACAAACGCATCGCAAATTTCGCATAGCGAGCATATCGATCTATCGATAAGCCTGCTGCGTAGATAGCGCAAGCCTTAGCATAACTGAAATCTACGAAGGAAAGTACGTTTGCCGGTAAGGATTAACGAGCACAGATTTTAATATTTTAATTTTTACGGATCTACCAACCTATTAGTTAAAGTTTTATTTGTAGCGTACTAAAAATAGTACCCAGTTTAGTGTGACGACACCGACTCAAATCGCCATGGCGTGATTATACAAATGACTTCATGCGCATCTTGTGTGCAGTTGGTGACCTAACAAAGGGATAGAGTGCAAGATTACGGAAAATCTCTGGTGAAACGGAAAACAGCTAAAGCATCCAATGAAAAATAAGTTACCGCTAGGTACGTGGAAAAACATAGGACGCTTCAAAAAATGCAGCGCTGGTCAGAAACAACTAGTTTCCTTATAACAACAGAGTCACCAAAATTGGGAAATTTCCGTCTTGTGAGTGAACGTTATTTATAGAACTGCGTAAGAGACGCTCACACAAGCAGGCTAAAAAACAATATGGGCACTGCAACCTCTAAAAACCGTGTTAGATATCTCTTGGTTCAAATGTCCTCTAAAAATTAAGGCCACAGGCATTATGACAAACAGTCAACTGATTGGTCAGGCGAGGCCTTCCAAAATGACTTGGAGCAATTTGGTTCTAGTTTATCACTTCTACATTTCTCAAAATGCAACTGTTCAACTCGAAGAAAAAGTTTACTTGATTCTCTAGGTGGGAACTTCGCACGTATAAGCGCTTTCGTAGGGTCACACGCTGAAAGGCCGGCCAACGGCTAACAAAAGACAACATATTTAAAAGACGCAAACAGAAGCATACCAGTTTTTCAGTGATGAGAGGACTTTTCCTCCGTAAAATTAGTGTGCACTTTGTGGAGAGAATTAAGTTCATTCAAATTCTAGGCATTCTGGAAATGCCAGTAAGTGCGGTTTTAAATGTCCTCTGTCGATTGCTTGAAGAGATGGTTTCTGTAGATTATTATCATCAACATAAGACAGGTTTTGGATGCCTACAACTAGCTGATGGATTTTCCGAGGCCCCTTTTCCAGCAGATAACGACTCGCGTCATATTTTTAAGCACAAGTAAGCACTAAGCCCTATCGTTAAAAATTATACCCGTGCTCGTAAGGATGGTATACAATGAATATGCGCTCAACCAAACGAAAATGCCTCTCAATTGAGTTTGATCTTTAGAAAGTGCTTTGCTGGAGGAATTTGAAGATTGATGTCTACGTCATTCACTTTCTCCCAAAGTAAAGTCAGGGAAAAAAGTAAGACAATTTGTCCGCCTATGCATTTCCCTGGCTGATACTGGTGATTCTTCTGTCACGAATTAAAAATGGCCCTTTTTTTCTTATTTTGGAACGGCTGTCATTGTCCTTCTTTAGTTTTATGTCTACTTCTACGATTATAATGCGCTACAATGTGACAACATAAGCGTTCACGTATTCCTCAAACGAGGAATGAGGCGCCTGTAGCACTTGTAAATTGTGTTTTATTTAGGACATGTGCATTTTTCTATATACTCCAGAGGTTAACTGGTCATTTTACGGCGTGTCGCTTCGTAGCTACTTCTGGGATGCTTGTATGTGCCTAGTAATTAGGAGCGTAGCAAGGCAACTCACTGAATGCAGGTATTAGTATTTCTTGTGGGGATTAACGCTCCACGTAGCAAACAACTGGAACTTTTAATGAGAAAGCCCACTTTTCTACAAAAACAAGCGCACATCTGGCTTCATTTTATTTACACCGAATTAAACATGAATTCAGAAGTTGCCTAAGACTGTTTTTGATAAATTCTCCTCGTTTAGACCGATTCCATGAGCTAGAGCAGCACCCGCAAAGATGCGGACGTGGTCTACGGTAGTTATCAGTATTGCACTGCCTGAATATGAAGTAGCATTGATTTCCACCTCCAATGTACACTTTTCCGTCAATTAAACGTCAGAGAAACATAACATGCGTAACCAAGGGATTGTCACGTAACGCGATAAACTGATACCTAAAACACACAACGTGCCGGATACTGCAGACTGGTAATCTGCGCTGGAGATGTACCGGAGACAAAGTGAGGACCAGATGCAGTCACGGCACACGTTAATCAGGCCACACAGAGTCCGCGCGGGCTGATAAACTACTACCAAACATTGGCGGTGTGGTGGCACGCCTGTCACCGCGAGCAATCCCAGCAGCCAATGGCTGACAAGCTCGGACAGCCGATGGTTCACGGGGGTGAGATCGACTTCGGCAGGTCCATCTTAACGGCACTTCAGCGCAGCCCTCACTAGAAAAGATTTGACGCGCCAAAAAGTCGTTGTTTGGAAGACTGCCAGTCAACTGGGTAGCCTGGTGCTCTCAAGACGGTGAGTTAGATTCCAATGGCTCACTCTTAATGTGGTCGTCAAGGCAATCCCACTCAGATAGGATCCGTGTCGGCCCTTGTTTGTGTGAATAACTGGTACATGTCTACCTGGCCAGGTCGTATGTGGCAGGCGAAGAGGGCCGTTTAACTTTGTCGACGACTGCGTCCGAGTCCGCCTCCCATCGTCCTGACTCTGTCTTGTCACCGAGCCCAGGTGGGAGGTGAGGAGAGAGCGTGGAAGGCGATGCGCAAGTCTGCCATCATCATGAATTAAATCACGTGCAATTCGTCGTCCTACGTCCCCTCCCCATGCCGTTGGAGCCCCAACGGACATCATCATTGGCGATCAGATGTTTGAGCAAGAGATGGACGGACTTACGTATATGTGGGAGGGACGGGTAAGAGAGACTAGGGTCGCATTTGCCTTACTCCCTCCCATATTCCGCATACTTCCATGGCAGAGCACAGCCAAGGAGACTGAAGATGATCGAGGGTGCAATACTTGACTTGGTGAAATCCCCATTTACGCATGTCCAATGCGTGGCTGTTCCTCATTTCACACGAACCAGATACCTAAAACGCACAACGTGCGAGATACTGCAGACTGATTATCTGCGCTGGAGATGCATTGAAAACAAAACGAGGACCAGATGCGGTCAGGGCACGCGCTAATTGGGCCACAGAGAGTCCGCGCGAGCTGATAAACTACTACCGCACTTTTACTTTATATGACCTAGAATTAGACGGAATACCAAAAGGGAACTTATTAGAAAAAATATCTTCTTATTCAAAAAGCAAATAGCGAGCATCTGGCCTTATTCGATTTAGACAGTTAAAAATAGTTACAGGTTAGCTAAGGCTGTTTTTGGTAAACTATTCTCGTTTAGAGCGATGCTATCAGCTGGAACAGCACGCGGAAATAGGCAGCCGTGGTTTGCATCGCCCGAGCTCATATCGGGTCATCTTGGAGTTATCATTTCATTGAAACCTGGTGAGTGAAGAAGGAGAGAATGCGACAGATGCTGTGCATATCTGCCTCACTGTAAATTAATTCACTCGAAAGTCACTGGTGTTACACCTTTTCCGTGGGCACACTGTAGACGTCGTCGCTCGGGACATTCAAACTGGCATTTACTAGCATGGGAAATTGATTGCATATAAACTAGCGTTGAGGTCTCCTCAAAATTTGCGCTCTCCTTTAATAAGTTGACTTAAAAAATACGCCTGATGTTGTTAGAGAATCTTCTTACAAGGTGTTGAACTGAAACCTAAAACGCACGACGTCCGATGTGTCGCGGTCTGATCATGTAGATATTGGCCTTTGTGCATCATCCATTTCGCCGCCTACTATTTATCAAGATATTTGTATTTTGAGAAGTTTTGTCGGCGATGTTATGGACGCAGATATTATTATTTTTGCCATGCTCCGTCGTTATAATATGATATCGCCAATCATCGCATCGTATTGTCCCTGAAACATCTATTTCGGGCTTTTTCGTATTTATTATTGTGTGACGCTCAAACCCCATTTGTTGAAATGCTGCAGATTTTAGCACTGGAGCACTTTGTCTATTAACATCTATATCTACTGCTTCATTTACTTGAAATACCGGGTGAAATTGAAGCTGATATTGATGTTTTATCTTCGAGTTTGGGATGTATGGCTCGGGATTGCAGTCGATGACAGAGTCACTGCCAGTCGAGAACGTAGATGGGTTCCGCACGAAGTATTTTTTTCAAAAAGGCTGCTTTTGATGGACTACGACGTGCTTTTTCTATCAGAAGAGAACAGGCAGCTTGCCCAATTAAGGCATATTTACGCTCATTGTGTAGGGAGAATGAACTATAGTCTCAAATGACTTTCTTCGACAAGAAATTCGGGATTCCTATTTTGTATTCTTTAATAATTATCATTATGTCTGTGAAATTTAGTACTTTACCTCGTTCCTTCCTTCAAATCCTCAGCCTAGACAGAGATGGCCGCTCACGCAACCCACTTCTGGGTTGTATTTGCCCTTTCCCAGGTACGTTTGACGTTTCGTAATCGCTTATTCTGCAGGCTCTAGCTATTACTATTTTCGTTCTCACCATCTACTGGAGAGGCACATTCTTCAGCGGGTTTGACTACAGTGCCCCACTCGGCTTAATAAATTTCCATGCTGTTTTCATGGTCATCGGATTCCTACTCTTCTTTGGCGAGTGTAAGTCTCAATGTTGAATTCACGATATTACGAGGATGTTGGCATAAGTTGTCCAGTAGTCGTATCTTTTGAAACGAACTGATTTTTCCCATTGCGGTTTTTACAGCAAATATCAACTTTCTACGATGTGCTGTATAACAGTTAGATGGCCTTCATCGGCACTTTGATATATATCAGTAGGTGGGGCGTCTCTCAAAACATAATGTATTTACACCTATAAGCATATCACACTCCTAGTCCAGTCAGCTGCTCATGCAAAATATTATCATTTAGGCCTCGAAATTCGAGAGCCAATGCCGACTGCCTTGGTCCCGCAGGAATTTTCAGTGATATCATTGAAATGAGTTCATAATACAAACGTTTAATCCGGTCATTGGCAGCTGAAGACATCACGTCTTTTGGTCAACGTAACGACCTAGAGGATTTATTTGAAGACTTAAGAAGTAGATTGGCAAGAGAGATGCTAAGCAGGTCTTGGTAGAAAAGTTCTGGGAAGGGTATCTGAGAGGGTTAAATGCCTTGTTGAATAAACAAAACGTTAACAGTGAAGTTCATAAAAATTCTCAACTGGATCTGCGTTTGGTGTTATAAGTTGCAGAGATGTCATTTGCAGGAGACTCGCTCCGAGAGTTTTACAAAGAGTCTTCGTCAGAAGCGCAAACGAGCTGCATATCTAAATATGTCGCAATGTCATGGCAAGATGTGGAAGATGATTGTTGAGGACTTCTCTTTACCAATAACACCCAAAATATTTTATGAAACTTTGACCTGCAGCTGCAGCAAGTTTGTCATGAGTGCTGCGCAATGTTTTCGGTGCTAAGTGCCAAAGTGCGCGCTTTAGGAAAAAGAGCAATTTATTTACGTTTTAGGGACACTTAAGATGACTGATCCGAGCTACCTTTGATGACCGATAACCCATGAAGAAAGGCCACATTAATGAAAAATTGCTGACCAATATGAATATAGTCTGGGCGCATCCATCAAAACGAAAAAACTAATAATGAACGACCTCCGGTTAAACTAACAAGCAAAATAAATACTTTAAATATTGGTTCGTTGATAAGAAACAACAATTGTCTTAAGAATAAACGAAACGTTGGAAACATGAGAATTCGTGTCAAAAAAGAGACTCAATTTTTAAAAGTATATAATGCTTGTTCATTCAAAAGGTCTATAGAATACACCGTAAACACAGCGACGTATAAAAAATAGTTGTATGCATGTATTTTTATTGAGCCTCCGTCAAGAATTAGTGTTATATAAAGTCTGGCATAAAGTCGGCTGCTAAATGTCTAGTCATGTGTTTCATAGTCTTGTTGAATGAAATCGATATTATTTTTCCGTTCTTGCATTGTTTGAGATGCGGCTAATTAAGGCAAAGAGGATTTCGCTTAATGTTGTAGATAGGGACGTCACAGAATAAAACGTCTTCATAAGATCATTTGCTGACAGATTGTTCAGTGACCAAGAAATCTGAATGGCACTGATAAATGGAATCCGGGGTATATTAATTTCTTTCTCCCATAAAATATGCGCGTGGTTTTTAAAAGCAGTGGAATCCACTGAGTCTAATGATATTTTTGAAATTTGAATAAAAGCGTTGTAATTTCCAGTGTTCCCAATTAACTGCAGAGAATTATAGGTTTTGCATCATGTATTTATAAAAACCTTCAGGGTAAGATATTTTTAGAATCATTTACCGGAATAGCGAATTCTTCCGCACTGCTTCTTGTGCGAATGACCTTTTGGGGCACCTCTGGTGACTCAACAAAACACGAAACCTCACTAACGAAATATGAATGTCCATTTCGAAATTCGACGCTGAGAAAGGTGGTGATTGATCAAAAACTTTCTTGATAAGCAATCCTTTAAGAAAACGTTTTACTACGGTATTTCGCTAGCGAGTATCCGCGCACATCGCCCATTTCTAAGATAGAGTCAAGATAAAAGTTGGAAATTTGACCGGCTTTTTTGAATTTCCAAAAATACTGACCATATTTTTGCTGCAGACGCAAGAGCTCACTTTTCTTTTATATTAAAGCCATCTTCTCTACCTTGGCCTATTTTTAGGCACCGTTCTACGATAATACACAGAAGAATGACCATACAGATGGTGGAATATTGCTCAGACTGCTATTGCTCTACCCGTCCCCTTTATAGGCAGAAAAAAGACAGCGCAAACATTGTCGTACTACATGCCAAAAAGTTAAAATGAACATTTTTTGATGGGCTCCCTCACGACTACTTATGGCGTGTTCGCAAATGACAGAACAATATATGTAGATTTGCACAGCGGATTATCTGTAAGCGTTAGTACTGCAGTTTAGGGCGTGAAAACACACTTATTTATATCTCTGGCTTTTTAAAATCGACAAAACGACCGTTTCTTTAAAAGTAACCTGTTTGTTCATATCCTGCTTCAGATGACTTAAGCAGAAAAAAGCAATTTTCAAGCCTGGCAAGTCTTGTTTAGCAGAACTCTCAAGGTTAACTTACTCCCATCTCAAAAAACATCCTTGAGTGTGTAAACCATGCCTAAAATAGTTGCTGATATAGGAAACTGCCCAGCAGCGTAGATTTCAGCTCAAATCTATAAACGCTTTGTCTTATGAAGTAACTTCGACACATGCTCTGCACGAAATAGGGATGTGTTCCCGAAGGGCCCTACGAAATAAGATGAATGCGTAAATCTCAGGTACTTAAACGTGATCACTTCAGTTCCTGTCGTAACATTTTGTGAGTTAGGTCACCTACTGTATGTATGGATCTCGTCCTCTTCATCCACAGATAAATCCTTGAAATTCCCATTTTCAGGTGTGGGTAGTGTAAGTAGTAATAATTCTAAAGGCGTCATCTGTCTCTTAAATAGCGCGCAAACTTTCATGATATGCTAACAGTTGACCCGGCTAGTCAGTGGCCACGAGGATGTCAAATGTTCCCCACTGGTATGCAACGACTTGCATTACCTCCATGCAAAATCACTTTGGAGGGATAATAAACCCAGATAATGCAATTATGAAGCTAACTAGGCCTCTACTGAAGGAACTTTTTTCATCTGGCTCGTCATTCGCAGCAATCATCTGCTTCCGAGTGCTTGCTCTGCTGCCCAAACTGCCAGTGAAAATCCTCCACGGTGTCCTCCACACCCTCAACTTCTGTCTCTCAGTGGCCGGTTTGGCAGCCATCTTTGAATTCTATCGTCGCATATCAAGTCGGGGCATGTACAGTCTGCACAGTTGGATTGGCATCTTTGCGGTTGCACTGTACACCTTCCAGGTGAGTACCATTCCCAGGATGACATGAAGAGGGAGTCGCGGATGTGGTAAAAGGTTTTGTCAAAATTAACATGAACAAAGGGAGCAGTATTGCTGGGAAATAATTGGGCGACTGCACTGGTCACTGCTGACTGGCCATTCCTTACTGCTGTTGTCAGCTAACTATGCATCCTAATCAGACCTGACAAACTAAAAGTTTAAGCCGGAACTCAGCATGTCACTGAGCGATGAGACCAGTACTTGTCGGATGCAAGCTGGAAAATTTAAGGTCATCTGAAAATGTCATTTACTGATCGGGCCTGATTTGGCAAGGCAGAATGAAGACTTTCCTTGTGACTTTAGATCACTGAATCATGGCCAATGGAGGAGGTCGCATAAAAAAACAACGTACACTGATCAAAACCGCGAAATAAAAACTAACGCAGAATTTCCGCTCTGATGTGTGTATAAGTCAGTCTTCAGCCAGAGCACTGCCAACTCGGAAGCTTCGTTTTTACTTAAGGTCGCTCTTCCGTCCTATGTACTACGAAATGGTACTGGCCCCTTATAAAACCGGTACTATGTTTCTCTTAACAATGGAAGATGCTTACGGGCCACAAGAAACAGGCATGCTCGTTTAAATGTTATTAAGAGAAGCAAAATCCCAAGGAAAGTCTCAAGTAGCTGGTCGAATATTTGACTTTTCTTGCAGTCAAAAGATCGCGGTTCCCTATTTTTTATAATGTAAACGTGTGAAGCACAGTCAATTTATAATAAGCCATCATTAGAATTGTATGAACGGCTATGAGAAAGTGGCAAAATGTAGAAATTTTGACAAAACTGAGAGACTATTGGACGAGATGGGAATGTTCTGGATTTAAAGACTGGTTGTTCATGACTATAGACGTCAGTTCCTCTGTCATTTTTAAAGGAAATGATGATGGGCCAAACCGTTCAGACTAGAGAAGAATCATACCCTGTCTTCAAAGGGAAAGATGTGTCCGTACGCAGAGGTAGGGAGGGACTGTACAGCGGATCATGATACGTTTCTGTCTGGTTCATCGGACCTGAGCACAGGGGCTGCACAGGGGCTACCCGTAGAACCTCTGTGACTTCGCATGCATGTAGTGGTCTACTGGATTGACCCAAAATTTGTTTCGATGGATCGCAATCAGTTTCTTCGTGAAGCTTCAGATGAATTATTTTCCGATTTGAACGAATTTCACTAGGCCTCATTTTTGGCGAATGTTGGTGCAGACACCTACCATTTCACCATATCTTCGAGTTCTTGGGCAAAAACAATGGAGACTGAAGCAGCTTCAATGGCTTGTGGACCACACGCAGACTCCGAAAAAGCAGTCTGTGTGTTCCAATATGGCACTGACTTTGGGTAATCATCTATTCCGCCAGAAGGTTCATACACCTGTAAAAAGTAACCACTCCCGCGAACCCTAATGAGACCACTGTTATTTGCGCTCATAAAAGATATCAAAGGCATTCCTCACAAGTAAAATCGATTTCGGTCGAGCACCATCGTTCAAAGATTTAAATTGCTAGGTACGTTTACTGCCCCCCCCCAATAATTTCTTGTGTCAAAGTAAAATGAGCATTTTGACTCAACAGCGGCTGCTTTCGCATCGCAAGTGGCAAATAGGATTAAAAATCCAGG